GACCTGAACCATGATGCACCAGAACCTCTGAGGGCATCCCCAGGGAATCTGGATCTCTCAGGCAGGATCCCCCACAGGTGCTGCTGCTCCACGTGATCATCGCTTGGGCAGCCTCCAGCAAACGCCACCAGCTGCATGTGTCTACTCTTAAGTTCCTTCCACCAGAGAAGCAGCTTTTCAGATGTGAAGAGCTACACTGTGTTCAGTCACTGGGATTTGCTCAGTCATGTAACTGACATCTACTGTGTCCCAAGTACTGTGCTGGCACAAGGGATGCAGCAAAGACCGGGACAAACAAGGCCCTACGCTCTCGGGTCTGAGTTTGGTTTGGGTTGTGGGGGCTGGAGTGGCAGGGTGCAGCCAAGTATGTGAGTGGTAGGTGCTGTGGAAGACAGTAAAACAGAACAGTGGTAGTGGGTGGATGAAAAGGCCTCTCTGAGGAGGGGACAGTTGAGCTGAGGCCATGGGGAGCAAGAGGGAGGGTGGCATGGGATGGGGGAGGAGAAAGAGGCTGGGGCCAGACAGTAGGGCCTGGCAGCTCCTGTTTCATTCCAAAGCGTGAGGGAAGCCACTGGGGACTTAACAGAGAGGGCTGACAAGATGTGATTTTTGTTTTTAAAGGGTCACTCTGGCTGCTGCGTGGAGAATGGATGGGAGGGTGGGCATGAGGAGGAGGCCGTGGCATCCACCCAAGCTAGAGATGCTGTTGGTGTGGGCTGGGGGGAGCATGCAGGACCAGGAGCTGCTGATGGGGGGCTGAGGAGAGGGACAAGAAAAACAGGAACCAGGAGGGATGTTCTACTGACTTTGGAAATAGAAATATGATTCAGTCCAATTCCTAGGGTTACAAAGCAGGAGACTGCTTGAGCTCAAGCAACTGTGCCAATGGCAGCACAATTTACCAAGGTGGGAAATAGATGAAGAGGATGCTGGAGGGCCCTAGTTCAAGTTGTTCTTATACAAAGCTCGAGGTACCCATTAGACCTCCATGGGGAGATGTCGAGCAGGTAGCTGGACATGAGTCTGGGGCTCCAAAGGGAAGCCGTAGCCACAAACTCAGAAGGCACTGGTGAAGATGATGGTTAAAGCCATGGGCTTAGTAAGGTCTCCTGGGGCCTGCGTGTTAAAGAGGACAGAAGACGACGCTCTGAGTCTTCCCAGCACAGAAGTTTGAGCAGAGGAGAAACAAGCAAGGGAAAGGCAGAAAGCCAGCCAGGAGAGGCTCCTGTCAGGGCTGCTAAGTCTGAAAAACTGTACAGAGGACACCCTGGGGCTGGATTTGGCAAGACCAGTAGGAGCTCAGTGGGATGGAGGAGGAGAGGTGGGGAGGTGGAAGCAAAGGGGAACCCTGGGAATTGGGCTGAGAACGGGGGGAGACAAAGGGGGGAGGGGGTGTAGGAGACACCAGAGCATGTTTGCTGATGGGAGCAAGCCAGAGATCCAGGAGACTGGACTGGCGACTGGTCAGCACTGCACCAGGAGTGAGGGCAGGGTGCACAGCCGGGGGCTGTGGGCCAGGAGGGCTGGGCCTGAGGGCTTCTGCTTTCTCCAAGCTCCACACAGTTATCCTTGGAGGGAAGGGAAAGGCCTGAGGGGAGAGGACACGTGAACTCCTTTTAGAAAGTGCAACAGTCGGGCTGGCCCCGTGGCTCATTTGGGAGAGTGTGGTGCTGATAGTGCTGAGGCCACAGGTTCAGATCCTATATAGGGATGGCCGGTGCGCTCACTGGCTGAGCGTGGTGTGGACGACACCAAGCCAAGGGTTGCGATCCCCTTACCTGTCCAAAAAAAAAAAAAGATTCTTAAGTGCAAGAGTCTAAGGATAAGTAACCAGTGCTGGGATCCTATATGACATTTATGCTCCTACATTCAATGCGGGACTGACAGTACAGCTGCCTGATTCTCTAGGTGAGAAAAAAGTGCTGTTAGCACCATGGCAAAGAGCAATAAAGTACAATTTCTTGCTATAGGAAACATTGCTGTAATTCCAGGCTTGCTCATGCACGTTCACTGCCTAGGAACACACACATGCACAGAGTTGTCCTTATTCACAGCAGTTATGTTCTATGTCACCATGAACACTGCATTAGCGAGTACTGAACCACTGCTTCTAGGGGAAACACAGGGTTAGTTCCTGTGAGCCTCTGTTCAGGACATTTTCAACAACTGATCAGTACATAATCTCATGTTTCTGTTTAAAGATGCCTTCTTTATACACACACACATACATAGATATTTTTTTTGCTGGCCGGTACAGGGACACACACACACACATACATATATATTTTTTTTGCTGGCCGGTACAGGGACTGAACCCCAGACCCTGGTGTTATCAGCACCATGATCTAACCGACTGAGCTAACTGGCCAGCTATTTAATATATATCGTTGATCAACATTAGACTCATGGCCATCAGCACTATAACTCATGCCTGAATGAAGCTTATCTAATATATTTTCTCCACAAGGCACATCATAGCTTTCTTGCGCTTAGAAACACTAGTCAGGTCCGGCCAGATCTAGTTCTCAGTTGGTGCTGAGAACATTGCCAAGGTCCAGGGTTCGACTCCTGTACCAGCTAGCCATCAAAAAATAAAAGAAACACTAGACAGCACTTCAGCACTATGCTTTGAGGGCCATTCTGAACAGCAAAATCACCAAAAGAGCAAAAAAGGCAGAAAACCTGCCATTAAATATGACCATGAAAAGGAAACGTTGTAGTAGGAGCTGAAACAAGCAAGTGGAACATTGCCTTGTTTGACCTCAGCTGGGAACATATGTGTTGTTGGGCAACTCAAGTCTTCGACACTTTGTGCACGTCTTCCAAAGACTGAAAGCACTGTATTGATTTGGGGTTACAAATAAGTTATACATACACATACCAATGCACCAGAGAGCTCATTAAAGGAGGGGCCTGCAGTCCACAGCCCCGGCACCAAAAGAGCAGCACCTGGGTACCCCTCCCTGCCAAGCTTGTGCTACACACGGCTTCTCCCCAGAGCAGCACACGGGTATGATGGATTCTGGAGACATGCTGGCTGGGTTCAGATCTCTCAGCTCTACTCCTTACTTGCTAGGTCTTCCGGACAAGTTTCCAGACCTCTCTGTTATAAATCTTGTTTGGTAAACTTTAAAAAACTTGGAAATCTAACTGAAGGCAGAGTATTCTAATACAAATAACTCAGCCTGACAAAGGCTGTCCCACCAACTGCTCAATACACGTTGAGTGTGTGAGTGAATGTATGAAAGCCTACGCTACCTGGTATATCAGAATTATTATACTTGAGGTCTTTTGAGACAACCTAGATATGTCATATACACCTCTGTGTTCAGCTCCAGACTTCTCCCCACCCATGAGCCACCAAGGGCATTACCTCATGATTCTCCCCTAACTGTGGCTTTTTTGGAGGAGGGGCTCTCAGTATCACCCATTCCTTTCTCAATGGCAACATCTTTGTTCCTCTTTTCCCCCGAAGACTGAGAAAGACTGATAATCATTCAACCTCAGATGTTGACGGTCCCTTAAAAATGGTCAGAAACTGCTACAAGACATGTTCTGCCTAAACATCATCTTCTGAAATCTAGAAAAGGGTAAAACATCAGCATCCAGCCTGGCAGCCCACTATGTGTTTAGTCCTTTGTCCACCCACCCGACACATATCTGCTGAGTGTCTCTCTCACTAAGCTCTCTGCCAAGCAAACAAGCAAAGGCAGGAAATACTTGCCACAGCTCTCTGTCTTATCAGAGGCAAGGTCAGGACTCAAACCCAAGCTCTGGCACCCTGAACAGTCTCCAGTATGAGAGAACGCCCATGAGGTCCAGGCTGCAGATTCAAAACAGGAGTTGTGACACATTTGGGGAGATGTGAGAGGGGGAGATAAGGAAACTAACAGTTCAAAAATAGGAGAACTAAAAACAAAACACAAAACTAAGCAGCCAGTCCCTGACATAAGAGAAACACAGGTTTCAAAATGTATGGCCAGGGTCTGTGCTAATTTATTAGGGTTGGTTCTCCATTTCAGCTTCCTGGGGAAGAAAAATTCCTGTGACTTGAACCACTGAAGGTATCACAGATGTCGCATGGCTCAAAGTGGGGACTGGGAAATCTACACTACATAAGTAAAAGAAAAATGTTTCTTTTTTTTTTCTTCACTCAAAACCTTTAATTTCCTTAATTCAACCAAAGTCTGTAAGAGGCACGAAATATACCTTAGGAACTTGGCATTGGAGAGAAATAATCCAAAAATTGAGTAAGGGCTCTAATTAGAAAACTTCTCTGTTGACCCTGCTCGCCCAAAAGTACCCAAGGTCAAAGGCTGACCTTGGCTAACTCCCACGCTGCCTGGCACAGTGTCCTGTTCTGGGCCAGTACATGGAAGTTGGTTTAGGAATGCATTCACCCAAGGACACAGTGGGAGTTCTGGCTGCCTCCTCTCTGACCCCAGCTCCTATGTGACCCAGAAGGAAAGCCCTGAGGGCTTCGGTCCCTGAGAGTTCCACCTGCCTGTCCAATCTCTTTTGGTCCCTTTTTGGTTTAGATCCCCTTTGGTCTCAGGATAAAAGTGCAGCCTTTGGCCAATACACACCCCCCGGTTTGGCTAGGATTCCCCAGTTCCTCCACCCTGGTTCAGCCCAACCTGGATTCTTGACCTGTTCATTCTTCTAGTCACCAGTTGTTTCCCTAACAGTTCTTTCCACACATCAAGCTCCTTTTTTGTGGCCCAGCCTGCCTGGTTAAGTCCCTGACACCTTCCTTCGCACATGCCTGGGGTTTCCTGATACACATTGGCACCCTGGGAGCTGCGGGGTATCTGAACTCTGTCGAAGGCAGTGGAGGTCAGGGGCAAGCACCACAGGTCAGCCCCAGGGCCAAAGCCACTTCCTTCAGTGAGTCCGGGAACAGGTCCAAGTAACAGGACCTGTTGAATCTTGAGGCCCCATCTCTATTGTGTCATTTTACAGCCCTCCCTACAGCTTCTGTAATTAATGTTTCACATGTCTGAACAAAACCTTAAGGCTTTCTGTTCTTTACTAAATAAATTTTCCCTTTACAGAAACCAGCCCAAAATTCATCACTGTTCGAATATGTGAGAACAGGCACCAGCAGCAGAGCACCCTTTCCCTTTTAGCAGGAACGTGGATGAACTCTGCTAGGCAGTGCCCTCGAGTGTCCAGGAGACAGTCCCTCTGTCCCTCAGGCTCCAAGTCCCGCTGAAAGGCAGGACTGTGAGCAGCTCGAGAGGGGCTCCCATTTGCTGTCTACCCAGGCAGTCCTGGGAGGGAGCCGGCTGAAACAGAGCTTCCTTTCCCTTCTGGGCACGGTGAGGGTTTTCTGAGGCCCTGGTCACAGAGTGACCAGGCTCTAGACGGCTGCTGCCGCAAACGTTGTCATCGTCCCATGATAAAGCTGGGCTCTTCTTCCTCCTCCTCTGTTCCAGACGCCTCCTCAGAGCTGCTGGACTGTTGCTCCTGAGACTCACTGGATCCTGTAACCACACGATATGTGGATTATAGACACACAAATTTGCTCAGAGTCAAGGGTACTTTAAAAAAGGAGAACAGCAGAGAGAAAATTAGGAACTACTTGTTTTTGGCCAGCACAGCGAGGAGCCCGAGGCAGTCCTCAAGCCTACCAGTCCCCAACGTGTTCCTTGGGAAGTACAGATAGGCCACAGAATTAATCTGCCACTGCCTTCATAGGTGCACCCTCATCCCTCCCAAAAGATCCAGTAGCACACACTGGAGCCTGACACCCCATAAATCAGGCCCTACTGCCTTTCATATGGCTCCCACCACCCTGGCAGGACAACTTCCCCACCCAGCTCTAACATTTATTGCTAAGGCTGACAACGTCCCTGCTGAAGTCTCAAGTTCTCACTGCAGTCCATAAAAGGATGTTCAAACACTATAGCAGAGGGCTTTGCACACGACAAGTATGCCAGCTTCCTGGCTTCTCCCAAACACAGGCCCAGAAACCCTCCCTCCTGACACCCCATGTGCAGCTCTTGAGTTTCCAGCCCTTTCCTTGTCACTACTGCCCGTGCCACAGTGCAGTTGAGCTGGCTGAAAGCAGAGCACAAAGACAACTTGTTCCCAACTCCTCCTCCTCCTCCTCTTCACAGGGCAGGGGACTGGGTGGGAGATGGAAAGAGCCAAAGTCAGAGACCACGAAGCAGCGGTGGCCCTCCAGCTCAGGCCCTCAAGGTAGCTGCCTGCAGGCACAGGGGCCTCACCAACTCATGACCCAGTGAGCTCTCCTGGGCCAACTAATGGCTCCCCATCACGAATGTGCAGGACTCACCCAGCAACCCCACACCCATAACACACTGGAGCTTTGCTACTGCTGACACACACAGTCAGACAAGGAGCTCCCAGGTGGGTGGCCTTGGGTGCCTACAGCACAGCACAGCCTCACATTCACTTCCACACCCTAGGGTGGGACACCAGAAAGAGTGTTCACGGCAACGGGATGAAATCATTGGTAAGATTTAATTTAATTTATTCGGGGTATCCCTTCTTCTCCTCAACCTCATGCCAAACAGAACGAGCAGTTTCAAAAGTTCCAATGATGAGGATATTTTAATAGCTAAAGTTTTTGAACACTTACTATATCCCAGGAACTGTGCTGTCTTTACATATATTGCTTTAATTTTTTTTTTTTTTTTTTTTTTTTTTTTTTTTTTGATGGGTAAGGGGATCGCAACCCTCACTGCGGTGTGGTCTGCACCACGCTCAGCCATTGAGCACACCGGCCAGCCCTATATAGGACCCAAACCCTCGGCCTTGGCGATACCAGCGCCGCACTCTCCTGAGTGAGCCATGGGGCCAGCCCTGCTTTGTTTAACTCTAACAACAGTCTGTGAGGTAAGTACCAATGCTGCATATCCATTTTTCAGATGAAGAAAACAAGGCTCAGAGAGTTTTAAGTAATTTGCTGCTCAAGATCTCCTATTCAGGAAGACAGTGAGCCAGGATTCAGACCCAGATGATCTGACTCTTTAGGCTTCTGCCTACCTTGCCTGCAGACACAGCATAAGGAAGCTGAGGCAAAGGAAAACAAGGTGGAGCCAGGAGTGAGGCAAGCACACAAAATGCATTCTATGGACAGACTGAGTAAAAGACTAGAGATGGATGGAAAACCCAGCCCTGAGCTCCCTGGACTTGCAGGGCAGGGCTTGCTCCACTCTTGCATGTGGTGGCATGCATGGGAAAGGGCAATATTTCTATGGCACATGGGGCAACCGGCCAGGCTGCTCACAGCCACGGGCAACAGGAGCCTAAGGATACATGATGATTAAATGTAATGTAGTGTCCTGGACTGGATTCTGGAACCGTAAAGGGCACTAGGTAAAAACTAAGGAAACTCAAATAAGGTATGGACTTTAGCTAAGAAATGTATTAATATTGGTTTATTAATTGTGACATATTAACTTAAGATGTTAAACAGTAGAGGAAACTGGGTATATAAGAACTTTCTGTACTATCCAGACTGTGGGAAACTAAGGAAGGCATCAATAAAGCTCTGCTGATCCCACCCCTCTGGCAGGACCTGAGATAACAGCAAAGACAGGAGGAGAAACCAGACAGACACTAGGCAAGACTTTCCACCTGGCTCCTTGCACAGAGTCCCCGAAGCTCACACCCCCCTCCCTCCTGCTTTTCATTTCCCACATTCCATTCCCTCAGTCCCCTCTTTAAAAGCCCCTCAGTAAATCTGAGTCTTGGAGATGGCTTTAATCTGGCCTTTCTCCTTCAGGTTTACTGGAAAGACAGGTTAACTTCACATCTCTCCTCAGGTCACCGGTATTCCTGAATAAGTGCTAGCTTCCTTTTTACCAACATTTGACTTTTGAGTGTTTTGTTTCTGAAAGGGGGCAGGCAGCCAGACCTGTGGAATTTTTCTGTAAATCTAAAACCATTCTAAAATGAGAAGTTTGTTTTGGAAAAGGATGGAACTGAACTACCGCTGAATAGATAAGCACATTATGTGATTGAGCAGGTTGTACAACCCTGTGGGACAAAATCCTATGGGACATGGTGGAGAGAAAGGCTAGCTCTGCAGGTTGGGAGTGGGAGGAGATCAGTAGCAGCTTTTCAAAGAGAGGAAACATTGCAAGAGGAAGGTGAAGGAGGAATAGAAGTTCTCCAAGCAGATGAGAAGCCAGGCAGCATGAAAAAGAAAAATGCACAGCAGCCTGTGCAGCTAGGCTGAAAGACAGGTGTAAGCATGGCCACAGCAGAGGGCATATGGAAGGGAGAGGCCAAAACGAAGTGGTGGAGGGGCTGGAAGAGCCAGACCGTGAGGGCCAGGAATGCCAGGGCTGCTGACCAGATTCAGGCATGATCACCTCCCGGTTAAGAGCAGACCCAGGCCTGCCACCGGCTCCCTCTGAAGCTCTACAGGTGCCATCACCCCTCAGTGCCTAAGGTTTGTTGTTTGTAAAATGGGGATAACACCACTGATAACTCATGGGGCTGCTGTGAGGATTATGTTAGTTAATACTGCAAAGCACTGAAAACTAGGGGTACATCATAAATGTTCAATAAATGTTAGCTATTGTTGTTATACAAGCAGAAGAATGAACGGCAATCCAATCAGTAATAAAAGAGCTTGGAAGCTGTGTGCAGGTGGGTGGCATGGGGGTAGGGGGTGGGAAAAGAGTGAACGCTGCTACCATGGTTAGCAGGTCTACATTGATATTTTTGTAAGGTTTTTTACTAAATCCTCAATAAGACCTTGACTTCCTCTGACATGCATCATTCTTATCCATGTGGAAGAGTATTTTTTAAAAGCCAGTGCTGGCAAAGATATGGTAAAAGCATTCACTGTTGCACGCTGTTGATGGTAGTAAAAATTGGTCCTATTCCTTTGGAAAGTAACTAGCAATACATTTCAAGAGCATGAGTTCATTTTATACTCTGCGATCTAGTAATTCCCACTGTTGGAAATTTATCTTAATCTACACTCCCCAGAAAGGGAGAAGGGAGACAAATACATGATATTCACAGAAGTGTCTTCTACAGAAGACGAAAGCTGGAATCAGTCTAGAGTCTAATCAAAGGAGAAGGGTTAGGTATATTATGGCATGTCAATTGCTCTCATATTATCAGTCACTGAAAAAATTATGAAGAAATGGAAATGTTTATGATGTTAAATAAAATAAGCAAAATGGAGAACTTCCCACAATATGATTACAACTACATACAAATGATGTGCATATGGAGACTAAAAGAAAATGAATAGAGAGGAAGGTGATCTAGTTGTACGATATTTGAGCTTTCTCCATTATTTCCTTCCACTACTCTTACACTATTGTTTACACAATATTTTAAAATCCAGGAACCTGAGAATGTATTCACAGATTTTAGGCACTCTGGGTAAAATGCCACGGTAGGTACTGAGTGGTGACAGCACCCTCAGAGCTGCAGAGGAGTGGGCGGCAGGCTGGGATTTGATCCCAGGTACCAACACAAACCTGGGAGGTGATCTTGCTTGAAACCAAGTCAGCAGCCCCTGATATTCCTGGCCCACACTGAATGCAACTGAAACAGATACTAGCTTTTTTGTTTTCTTAACGAGATGAATGAACAGACTAGAAGAAAATCCTTGTATTATGGAATTGTAAGGACATGGGAAAATACTTGTGATACAGTGTTATGTGATTGTAGTGCATTGAATTATGTCCTCCAAAACTCACTGAAGTTTGAATTGTGTCCCCCAAGTTTTATGTATTACAAACTTAGCCCTCACTGTGACTGTTAAGAGGGTGGGAAATCCTATTATGGTCACTGAAAGGTGGAGCCTTGAAGAGGTGATTGGATTGTAGGACCATGCCGTAGTGAATGGATTAAAAACGGTGATCAGGGACATGGTTTTTTTTTTTTTTCCTTTTTGTCTTTTTTCGTGACCGGCAACGGATCGCAACCCTCAGTGTCGCGCCCGGACCGGGACCGGCAACGGGATCGCAACCCTCGGTGCTGCACCCGCACCTCGCTCAGCCAGTGAGCGGCCGGTCTGTATGTGGGATCCGAACCCTCGGCAGGAGCGCCACCGTGCTCTCAAGCGGCGCACTGTAGCAGTGCGCCACCGGGCCGGCCCAGGGACATGGTTTTGAGGGATTTAAAAGAAGAGAAAGGAGAGTCTGTCTCTCTCTTGCTCTCTCTGCTCTGCCATTTTCACGATGTGATATACTGCCATCAATGTCACCACCACCAAGACGTTCACCAGCAGTCTTCCCTGGAATTTGGACTTCCTAGCCTCAGAAACAGTAAGCAATAAATTTCGTTTTCTTTATAAATCACCCAGTTCCATGTATTTTATTTTAAGCAACAGAAACGGACTAATACAGTGATAAAATGAGGACAACTATAAATATGGCATTTATATAAATAAGGTTTACATATGAAAAAACTAAAATCAAAGAAATGATATTAAAATGTTAGTTATTATTTTTAGTAAGAATTACAGATACCTTTTTTTCATTTT